TTTCTGTGTAAGTTTATTAAAAATGGTCTTACATGTTCTTGAAAACAATGCATTAGAATTTTGTAAATAAACTAGTAGGGAAAAAAATTTAAAAAGGGCCAAAAAAATGGGCCTTACATTATAATCATTGACTTTTTGTCATCTAGTTGGAACCAATTCATAGCTGATTCTCAAACAGGTTCTTACAGGCTATAAACTGAATGGATGGAGATTGCGCATCATTCTCCTGAGAGAGCTGTTAGTGGATCTGAAGAGCTAGAGGAAGTGCAACCTTGGGTCGCAAGAGTTAAGAGAGGTGAACTTTGAGTTAGAAGAGTGCAACCTTGGGTTAGCATCTGAGCGTCATTAGAACAGCCATGGCTAATTTGAAATCTAAAGACAAGAAAGAGAATTTTTCCCTAATATAGCTTTCATGTTTGTTATAAAAAGACTTGTAAACTCTATGAAAATTCTTTCCAGGTCGTTTACCCATTTGTAATTAGATTATCAGTCTTTTTCTGGTGGAGGCCCAGGAGTATTCTGTAAACTTCTGTTATAAGACTCTTGTCTGAGATGGTATTGCCAAATGTTTGTTCCCAGTCAGTAAGTTTGTTTTTCGTGTTGGGTTGTTTGGTTGGGTTTTTCCCCCCTTTAAACCTATTGGAAAAGGATTTTGTTGCACACAGTTTAATCTTTATAAGGTCCAATTAATCAATTTTATCCTCTTCAGACTGTGCATTTCTGGCTGTATTTGGCAGTCTATACCATATAGTAGGTCTCCTAAGCCTGATCCCAGTTTGTCTCTTATGAACATTATGATTTGGGGCTTTACTCCCAGGTCTCTGATCCACCTTGAGGTTTGTTTTTTTGTTTGTTTGTGAGAGGTGGATCCTGTTTCAGCTTTATGCAGGCTGAAAAGCTGCAGTCCACTTTTGCCAGCATCATTTGTTGAAGAGTTTATCATTTTCCCATTTGATAAGTTTTACTTCCTTGTCGAATATCAGGGGAGCATATTTAGCTGGGTCTATGTTTCTATAATGACACCATTGCCATGCTGCTTTGGTTACTACTACTGTACAGAACGTTTTGAGGTCAGGGAGTGACCTCGTTTTTTACTTCTCAGAAGTGTTTTGCTTATTTTATGTCTCTTGCCTCTCCAAATAAACTTGTCAATTTCCTTTCCAATCTCCTTGAAAAAATAATTTGGTGTCTATATTGGGATTGTGTTGAACTGGTTTTGGTAGGATTGTAATTTTCACAATATTGAGTCTTCCTGTCTATGAACAGGACACATTTTTCCATTTCTTTATGGCTGACAGACACAGAAAGAAATGCTCAAAATCACTGGAAGTAAGAGAGATGCAAATCAAAACCACAATGAGATTTCACCTTTCTCCAGTAGCCGTGGCAAAGTTTAACAGGACAGCAACTAATTCATGTTGGGGAAGATGTGGCAAAATAGGAAAACTTATACATTGTTGGTGAATTTATAAAATGATACAACCACTCTGGAAGGCAGTTTGGCGCTTCCTCAAAAAAGCTAAACATAGAAATTCCATATAACCCAGCTATTCCACTGCTAGGAATATACCCCAAGAAAATGAGAACTGAGGCACAAATGGAGACTTGTACACAAAAGCTCATAGCAGCATTATTTACCATCGCAAGAACATGAAAAACAGCCCAGATGTCCAACCACAATTAAATGGATTGAGAGATTATGGTAAATTGACACAATGGAATACTACATAGCACACAGAAGCAATGTTTTGTAACTTCCTACCTAAGTTGGGTGGGACTGGACAGCATTATGTTGAGTGAACTAACTCAGTCCCATAAGGACAAATACTGCATAAAACCATTACTGTAGAATGTGTGAGGATCCAAGGGGCCTAAGGGCGGAAGCAGAGAGTTGAGGATGGGAGGGGGGAGGGTTAATTATAGGGTCAGACAATTTGACTGGAGATGTGTGGGTGAAGGAAATGGGAAAGATCTGGTGTGAAAAACAATGAATTTGAACTTTGTAACTAAATCTGTATTAAAAAAAAAAAGACTTAGGGAGCTCTGGTGGCCTAGTGGCAAGAAGCTGCACTGCAATCACAGAGGTACACAATTCAAATCCACCAGAAGCGCTGCTGGAGAAGCATGGGCAGTCTCCTCCTGTACCAGTCAGATCGGATATGACGGTACACACACAAAAATAATAAAGTAAAATAAAAATTTAAAAAATAAAAAATGACTTGTAATCAAGAAATAGAAAGCTGACAAGCACAGTGAGTTATGTTACTGTAATTCTCAACCCTTCATATTGCCTCCCACTCACCTCGAGAAAATTTCTCAAAATATTATTCACTACACATAGTGATTCTCAACCCACCACAAATCAATTAACTAAATTAATTAAATTTAAATTTAAAATTAAGTAAATTAATTAAAAGTGTAATCACATTATATTTGAGAGAACACTTTTCTCTGAGTTACACAGGATAAATAACACTCAAGAAAACAATCTATGGGGAAAAATCACAATCTATGCTATTGAATATGTTTTTGGAATGTATACAAAAGATCTAAAAATGTATACGTAGCAACAACAAATGAACAGAACTACCAACCATTCCAAACAAACCAGACAAATAAAAAGCAATACAATTTAAAAATCAACTAATAAAATCAAATTAACAATTTTTAAAAGCTATGTTAAATTTTCAATGGAAGTATACATGTATTTCTTCCTTGGAGAACTTTAAATTGAAAATGATGATAATAGCTTTAAAAACATATTTAAAATTGCTTAATGAAAGCAAAGAGCATATATGATACAGATTAAACATTAAGGAAAATTAAACAAATGAAATCACCTTGTTGTAAGGTCAATTAAAAAAAAAACATTGGTTAGTTTGAAAATAAATAATAACTTCCTTAAGGAAAATTTTACACATTTCCAAAAACTCTGAATTTAAATTTTTCATTCAAAAATATTCTAAAAAGTATGTGAAATGTAAAAGTAGCAGCTGTTTTGACAAATCAACATAAGTTAAGTAATACTGGGATATAAGTAGTGTTTAGTAATTTTCTTTTAAAAGGTAAATAAAAAAGATCAAAGGAAATTTTGGAAATTAATTTCAACATAAAATATTACTGCAAGATTATTTTAACCTATTTGTTAAGAAATTATTATACACTGTTGTTGTGGGCTGCTGAGCTGGAACTGAACCACCGCTGCCCCTCCAGCAGGTGTTCAGAGGCACTAAATCTTACAGGAGGAGATTGCCTGTCCTTCTCCTATGGATCAGCTGGTGGATTTAAACCATGTGTCTTTGGGATTGCAGCATAGCTCCTTACCACTAGGCCACCAAAGCTCCCTATTAAACATTTTATATATTATATAGTTATATATTACATGTTGTTGCCATTGTTGATTGCCTTTGAGTCTAGCACGACTCATAGTGACCCTATAAAGAAAAGATCTGAAGCCTTTCTATAACCACCAACATTTATCAATGTTTAAAGAGTTTCCAGAGGCATGTACAAGATAGTATTACATCCAGAAAATGATTCAGTATTGAGTATTTTAGATTATACATGTATTAACTTATGTTAAAGTTGAAAAAAAGTATTAGAATAGAAAGATTCTAAGATAGAAACTTAACTTTCATTTAATATTTAAAAATACTTACTGCTTAGTTTCCCAAAATATTAATTATTATTCCAATGGTAGCCAGCATTGTATTTTTTAATAAGAAGTTAATCCAAATCAACAATAAACAGATAAATGTGTATCAAAACTGAGAAATAATTATTTGTGAATGCTTACGTAATACACACACATAAAATATTAAGGTTGCATCCTTAAATTGCATGTTTTGACTTTTACAGTTATGACTGGATGTTGGAAATTGTAAAATTTACAAAGAAAGAACAAAACAAAGAGACCTCTTATTGCCAAACTGTATGCATAATTTCAGTAGATCTAAGTTAAATATAAATGTATAGTGCATACATGTCTTTATACAAACAGTCAATGAGTATTTGCCCAACCAGAAGTATCTGTTCTTTCAAACTGAGTTTTTGCCAATTATAAAGAAAACACACCTAAATACCCTTATTACCATTACAGAAATATATTCTCAAAATTAAAGACTTTTCTTTAGTCACTCATATAATAGAATGTCAATTAAACTGGTTATATCATAGAAGGCAATAACTTTTCTCAATAAATTCTAAAAAACAAAAACCTAATTTGGATCTAATACAAACAAAAATAGATGTTAGGTATCATTGAGTTTGTTAAGACTCATAGCAAAACAAGGCAACAAAACACAGTCTGGTTTTGTTTCAAGTCATAGTACTGAGCGGTTTCCTACTTTTTGTTGACTTTTACCAAGCATGATGTCTTTTTCTAGGGACTGGGCCCACCTGACAATATGCCTAATATATTTGAGAAAGGTAATTATCTATTTCAAAATTATACTCATTAATTAGGAAAGAAATCAAGTTATCCAAGTTAAATTTTATCCGCTAAAGAATAGTTTCCTTATATCACTATTGTATTAAAATGAAAAAATTAGATCTAAACCACTTAATTATAATTCTTCTCTTTTCTTACTAATTTCAAATCATGACTAAAACTGCAGTTTATGTAGGTGTATCCTCTTTTACAGGCTCATATCTAATTACCAACAAACATTAGTGGAAACAATCTTGTCCAGCTAGGCAAAATAATTCCTTTTTGCTTTGTAAACAATAACTTCTAACACAGCTCAACTAAATTTTAAATTACAGATTTGAAAAACAGTATTCAAAGGGTATTTTTTTAAAAAGAGTATAAAATTTTGCTTTTCACAAGTCAGTGAAATTTTGCTTTCCTTTTTATAGCTATTTTGTACAATCCCTCCTGAGAAAGATTACCACGCAATTCTCATTCTTCCTATAAAAACGCAGATAGTCAAATGACACGAAAATCCAACGTGATACTGCCAGTTAAAGATGATAGGTAAACTAGCACCATAAGGACAATTCTAAATTTTAACACTGTTCATCAGTAGTTCCATTTTCCTGAGTTTGCGTTTGTTCTTTGGCATGGGCTTAAGATATAATCCATTTTTGAGAAGATATTCCTTGCTGGGGCGAATCTGAGCACCATGCTGAAGCTGGAAGGAGCATAAAGCTTGAAGAGGTCGAAACAAAATCTAGAAAGGAAAAACAAAAACAAAGAGTTAAAAAGTATCTATGACAAAAACCTTGACCCTATTAAGCAGGGTTATGATGTTTCTCTTTCTCAATTACTGGCTTTAACTATAAAAAACAGGAATTCTGATAAATATGAGTTCTAAATAAATATTACTTTTAAATTAAATATTACTTTGCAATACAACTAAGGAATCACAAAAGGTATAATTTTTTTTAATATCGATTAAAAACCTGAATTTTTATATATTCACTTATCTAAAGCACCATGAAAGAAGGTTGATGTAACACATCAGTCTTATAAGCAAGCTAAAAGATATTTTCAGGTACAAAGACCACTTTATTGATCACTTAGAGAGCCGTCTGTTAAATAATAAAAGCAGCAGTGGATAAGTAGTTTAGTAACTCTCTCACACTAGTTCATGGATCGCATGTTGCTGTTAGGTATCTTAAAGTTGAAACCAACCAATAGGTGACCTTCTAGTTGGTTTTTAGAGGCAGTAAACTGCATGGGAGAAGACTGCTCATCTCTCTCTTACAAAGCAGCAGCTGGAGGTTCTAAACCTTGCACCTTTGTGTTGACTGTATAATTCCTTGCCACTAATACAGGGTTCCCTCAAGGACCATATACAGGTTAGATATTCAGATTTCCACACATTTGGTAAAACACTGATGGTATATGTACCTGTCTAGATTCAAGTAACTGTAAATTCAGGTATGTAACATAAACATGTGGTGAACAAGGTGAGCCTCTAAGATGACAGAGGATGCTGATAAAGGTTATAATAAAATGATAACATATGTCCTACCTAAAGTGATTCAAATTTAAAAAATAAAGACACATCTAGATGATTATGACTTAAAGTGTGGTATTGTTCAAAATGTTCTTCCTAGCCACGGGCCTTGACTTTTACTACCTGACTAGATAAAGAACATGAAATAGGATGTGTATAAGTGACTTCTGATAGGACGGATCAGTTTTCCTATGCTACCAGGTTTAAACTGAGCAGATTTAACACAAAGAGAGGAATCTAACTACCAGCAAGGAAGAAGCAGAGAATGCAGCACACACCCTTCAGAATCAGAGATTCCTACACTGGTCAGACTGAGACCTACATGAAAGGAACAGTCGCCTCAGTGAGAATCAGAGAATAATTTGGGACAGAGCTGACTTTGGACTGCTCTCCATGGATCCATAGTGAGGGGCCTTCACTTGAGGTTACCGGGGGACTCAAAGAAGTTTCCTTGATTGTCAAAACATAGAAAATTTGTTAACACTGACCTAAAACAGGAAGCTTCAGGTAAAAGGGACTGTGAGCATGCTTTATAAGTTGTGCCGACTAAAGAATTGTTTCCTGTCGCCAGTGTAAACTGTAAATTTTAACTTCCTTCTTATTGTTGTTGCTCCACTTAGTCAGAACTGACCCACAGCTGACCCTCCAGTGAGTTTTCAGAGGTATGTTGCTGACAAAAGCAGTTAACCTTTGTGGGACTAATACAAGTCATAAGTGGCCACATTCATAGTACTCATATTCTCCTTACATATAGTGACCTTCTGAGCATAAGATCAAAACTTTGCCCTATCTGCACAATCCTCACAATCTCCATCATGCTCAAGCCCACTGTATCAATTTATCTTGCTAAGAGTCTTCCACTGTTTCTTGATCCTCTACTTTTCCCAACATGATGTCTTTCAAGGACTGACACCACTTGACAAGTGGGACCAAGTATGTGAGACGAAGTTTCCCTATGGAGCACCCTGGTTGCACTTCCTCCAAGATAGACTTGTTCTTTGAGCAGTCCAAAATACCTCCCCATCATCACCATTCAGGGCTTATCTATTGAAGACATACACAAAATGCCAAAAGGCAATATCAAACTCAATGAAAAAAGATTGAAAACTTTCCCTTTGAAATCAAGAATAATCCAAAAATACTCATTCTCACCACTTCTACTCAATATTGTATTAGAGAAGTCCCAGGCAGAACAGTAACACAACAAAAAAATACAAGCTGTCCAGACTGAAGTATCAAAAATTTCATCTCACTTTGCACAGTCAAAACCTTTGGTATTGTTGTTGCTGTGTGCAGTTGAGTCAGATTCAACTGAAGTGATTCTGAATATTCCAGTGGGTTTTCAGAAGCAGAAAATTACATGGGAGTTGACTGCTCACTTTTTGAATCACATGCCTTGCCCTTGGTACTATCAGTCTAGAAATAATAAAATTTATTGAATTTGGAAAGTCTGTTGTTAAAGACTTCTCCAAAGTACTGAGGAGCAATGAGGTCAGTTTAAAAGATTAAGATGAGCCTGATTCAGGCAGTGGTCTTTTCTATCATTTGCTGCACAATGAATAAGGATGACAGAAGAATCGATGCCTTTGAGTCGTGGTGCTGCAGAAGAATGATGAACATTTTATGGTCTGCAAAAAGCATGAACAGACTCTTGGATAAATTACAGTCAGTGTGCTCTCTAGAGACAAAGATGCTAAAGCTTGGGTTCACACACTTTGGGTATGCTGTTAAGAGGGGTCATTCTTTGGAGGAGGGACATCATACTCAGAAAGGGAAGAGAGACGGTCAGTGAAAGAGAGCAAAACTTCCAATCCACACTGCAGCATGACTATCAACAAGTCTCATCTGTGCTAAGCATTTTAATTTGAGGAACTATATAGAATTAAGCCAGAAGAAAAAGTAGACATTTTCTTCCATTATTCTCAGATTTGACTAGAATGTCCCTAATATATGGTTTTTGGGAAATACATATTTCCAAGTGTTCTTTCTCAGGATGGGGGGCGGGAAGAAATATATTCAGAATAAGTAGAAATTGTGCTTCACACAGAAATGTGCTAATTTTCACATTTAACTAGACTATAACAAACTGGAATTAAGGTTTCCACACATACAAAGAAGCTTTAGTATAAATTGGCTGAGGGCCAATTTTTGCCATCTACAATAATAAGCATTTAAGAAGTTAAAAACTTCTTATGCATTACCTCGGTTCATGCTCCTACCCACCACTTCACTGCTGCTACTGTTGTATGTAGAGTTGATTCAAAACTGACGATCCTCCAATGGGTTTTCAGAGGCAGTAAACTACATGGGAGAAGGAAACAGCCCCTCTTCCTCCTGAGGAGCAGCTGGTTGATTTGAATTGTGTACCCTTGCCACCAGAGTTTCCAACTTATTGTTATTATTGTGTGCAGTCATGTCAGAATTGATCCATAGCTCACCCCCTAGCATAGCAGGTTCTCAGAGTCAGTGATTTTCACAGAAGGAAACTGCTCATCTTTCTCCCACAGAGCAGCTGGTGGGTTCCACCAGTTTGTGCTTTTGGAATTGCAGGCCAGCTTCTTTACCACTAAGGCACCAGAGCTCTCTAATTAGCACCTCCCAAATCACATCCTTTTTATACTCCTAGCCACTATAGTACAAATAGGGAGCCCTGGTGGCCTAGTGCTAAGAAGCTGTACTGTAATCCCTAAGGCATGCAGTTCGAATCCACCAGCTCCTCTGTGGGAGAAGGGTAGGCAATCTCCTCCCATGGGATTAACTACCTCTAAAAACCCAGTAGAGGGCCAGCAATGGGTCTGTTAGGACTCTATGGTATACTACAACAACATAGTACAAATACTCCTAGCAATCAAAGCAAGAACAATACGATCACATAGAGTTTAATTATTACTCTGGGATTTTATGGTTTGAGGGTTTTTCTTACTAATTTTAATGAATGTTTACAGAGACTTAGAGGTTCTAGTCATTCACTGTTGCACTTTTCTCCCTGAACCGCGCTCCCTAATTCACTCTTCTCCTTGAAAAGAAAAAAACTCTTCATTGTTATGCAATCTCCACCCCCCCCAAGTCCACTCCACTATACACCCTTCACTCTGGACTTTTGTAATGACAAGAAAACCCATTCATATGTCCCTTTTAAACAGATCTCTCCCTCATCTGTTTCAATGCAATATACATCATTTCTCTCCTCCTTTTCTGTCTTCCCTCAACCCTGATGTCAGTCCCGTTTTACAACAGTGGCCCTATGCAATATTTATCCTTTTGTGACTGAAATATTTCACTCATCATAATGTCCTCCAGGATCATCCATTTTGCATAATATTCCATGAGTTCCTTATTTTTCAATGCTGCATCGTATTCCACTGGTGAATATACCAGAGCTTCTCTATCTATTAATTTGTTGATGGGTACTTGAGTTGTTTGCAGCTATTTGCTATTGCGAACAAAGCCGTGATAAACATGGGTGTGCATATATCTGCTTGGGTAGCAGTTATGGTTTCTTTATTATTTTTTTGTGTGTGTACTGTCAAATCAGATCTGACTGGTACAGGAGATTGCCCCTCCTTCACCAGCAGAACATCTGGTGGATTTAAACCATGTGCCTCTGGGATTGCAGTGCAGCTTCTTGCCACTAGGCCACCAGAGCTCCCTGGGATTTTATGTTTTTTAAGATCTGTAGACAACAGTGATAAAAACGGAATAGAAAATATGTTATGTCATCATTCTGTATTTTAAAGTTCTCTTCTTGTATTATAATAAAACAGCATGTATGGCCAGTCTCATGGAAGTTACAAGAAGAATGTCTTTGGTTTTGGTGTTTTATTGTTGTCTGGTTGCTTTGGTTTGGGGTTGTGGGATATATATGGATATAGATATATATGTGTATATATATATGTTTATGTATATATATGTTTATATATGTGTATGTATATACACATGTATATATACGTGTGTATATACATGCACACATATATAAACATATATACATACACACACATGTGTGTGTGCATATATATGTGTATATATGTTTATGTATATATATGTTTATATGTGTGTGTATGTATATACACACATGTATATATACAGAATATTTATATTCAGTTTATTTTTTTTAAATGTCATATCACACCACAAAACATATCCAATCTACAAATACTCAGTATCATTTTTAGCTCATGTCATCAGTGAATGCTTTTAGTTGTATCAAG